GGCCGTCTTGGGCGTCTTTTGGGCCGTCTCGGGGACCGTTTTGGCTCTCTGGGGGCCTTCTTGGGGGCCTCTTGAGCCGTCTTCGTGCGCTCTTGGGGCCTCTTGGGCCGTCTTGGGGCATCGGAAAGCCGAAAATGCGACAAGGCCAAAATTCTTCCAAAACCATCGTGAGATTGATGATTTTGGCCTCTCGGGGCGCTCTTGTGAGGGCTCTTGGAGGCCACTTGGAGCGTCTTGGCGGCCTTTTGGGCCGTCTTGGGATCATCTTCGGCGTCTTGGAGGGTTTTAGGCGTCTCGGGGGCCTCTTGGGCAGTCTTGGGGGCCTCTTGGGGCCCTCTTGGCGCGCTCTGGGGGGCCTGAGAGGCCGTACCCAGGAGGAAAACCATCTCTGAGTAGACCTTCCCGGGACCTTCCCGGGCTGCGGTCGGGGTACTTTTCGCCGGGGGACCCTCAGGGGCCGCCCCGCGCGCCCGAACTAGAAGAATTGTGAACCAGTTACCGGAGATCTTAGCACGCCTCTGGCCCGTTGGGCCGGCGAATTTGTGTGTCCTGGGGCCCCTTCAAGAAAGAATGCTTCGATCATTGAGGTGTGAGAGAATGTCCACCAGGCCACGCACGCTTGCGCGTAAATCGCGGCACCCCCTACAGAGCACCGCGAGGGAGGACAGCAACTCCGCGAAGCGCGTCGCCCTGCAGCAGCCTAGCTTTAAGTCGGGCCTGTCCCTCTACAGGAGGAAGATTCAAAACTAGTCAAAGAATCGTCGGGGGACGATTTTGGGGGTATGTTTTTTGACCAGTTTTGAGCATTTTTGGGGTATTTTTATTTTTCGTCCAAAATCCCCCTGTAGGGGAACAGGCCCGACTTAAGCCTAGCTTGTCTCCCTCCGTAAGGTGGGCCTCCGACGCGCTTCTGTGTTTCTCTGTGCCTCTGGGGGGGTCTCAGAGGAAGCCCTCATCGCCACGGCTGGATCTGCAATGAAGTTCCAGTCAGGACGCGCTCCAGGACGGGCCCAGGCGTCGACTTAAGATTTCGGAAAGGCAAAGGGACAGGACGAGGACGAGGAGCAGGAGGAGCAAGAGGAGCAAGGAGGACGAGGACGAGGAGCAGGAGGAGCAAGAGGAGGACGAGGACGAGGAGCAGGACAGGACGAGGACGACGACGAGGACGAGGACGAGGAGCAGGAGAAGCAAGAGGAGGTGGCAAGGTCTGGCGCCTTCGGATATCCAGAGATATCCAGAAGCCTCCATCCTCGATGCCGGGGCGCCGAGGCCAACGCTTAGCAGGAGGAGAAAGGCGAAGACGACGAGAACGAGGACGAGGAGGAGGAAAGCGTCGTTTCTCCAGTAGGAGGAGGAGGTGGAGGAGGTGGAGGAGGAGGAGGTGGAGGAGGAGGAGGAGGAGGAGGAGGAGGCTTCGAGCGTGCGTCTGAGCAGCGGCGCCGTCCCCGCGCACGGCATCGGGGCGACTGACACCATGCGGTGCCCTGGCCAGCAGCCCTGCACAGTGAGGCTGCTCGCCCTGTCCCCAGGCTCGCGCAGGGAGCTCTAGGAGGCCAGGTGGCTACGCTCAGAGGATGAGGAGGCCTGGGGAGAAAGAGATTGGGACAGGGGAGGACGGAGACTGGGGGAGGAGGGGGGAGGGGGAGTGAGGAGGAGCGACGAGGAGAGAGGCGGAGTGAGGAGTGAGGAGTGAGGAGTGAGGGGGAGGAGGAGGAGGAAGAGAAGGAGGAGGAGGAGGAGGAGGAGGAGGAAGAAGAATAAGAATAATAATAAAAATAATAATAATAAAGAGATGAGGAGAGGATGAGGAGGGAGGAGGAGGAGGAGGAGGAGGAGGAGGAGGAGGAGGGGGAAGAAGAGGAGGGAGACCAGGAGGACCAGGAGGACAAGGAGGGAGGAGGGAGGAAGATGAGGAGAAAGAGTGGGAAGTGAGGAGTACGAGGAGGAGGACGAGGAGGAGGAGGAGCTGGATAGAATGATGATGCTGATGATGAGGAGGAGGAGGAAGAGGAGGAGTGAGGAGTGAGGAGATTGAGAAGGACGGGGGGGAGGACGAGGAGGAGGAGAGGGAGGAGGATAGGGAGGAGGAGAGGGAGGAGGAGGAGGAGGAGGACGAGGAGCAGGAGGAGGAGGGAGAAGGGAGGAGGGAGGAGGATGACGAGGAGGAAGACAGACGTAGTGATCACCTGATGACTGTCCACGCGACGTAAAAGGAGGAGAAGGAGGAGGAGGAGGAGGACGAAGAGGAGGAGGGAGAGGCGGAGAAGGAACAGGAATGAGGAATAATAGCAGGAAAAATAAGAGGATGGACGGGATTGGTGAGGAGGCGAAGATGAGTCCAGGAAGAGAGCTAGGAACCCACGTGCTGATGATGATAATGATGAAGATGTTGATGATGATCATGCATCTGCTGATGATGCGAATGATGATGATGTTGATGATGATGATGATGATGCTGATGCTGATGATGATGATGATGATGATGATGCTGATGATGATGATGATGATGAGGCTGATGAGGATATGCTGATTCCCATGAGGATGCTGGTGATGATACTGATAATGCTGATGCTGGTGATGGGTATGATGCTGGTGATGATGACAGTGATGATGGTCTTGGTGGTGCTGAGGAGGAGGAGGAGGCTTACCCTTAGAATTTGTTTCATCCATCCCCCCCCACTGCAACCATAGCCTCCCGCTCATTATCGTTATCATTATCACTATCCTAAGCAACAGCATCAGCAACAACATCACCATCATCACCATCGCCATATTCATAATCATCATCCGCAGCCGCATCGTCAGCAGCAACATACTCATCGTCATCACCATCATAGTCGTCATCGTGATCACCATCTTCATCGTAACCATCACCATCACAATCATCATCAGCATCGTCGTCGCCATCCTTATTGGGATCATCGTCATCATCGTCATCATCATCGCGGTCACAGTCATCGCCATCACCACCATCACCATCATCATCGCCAGCACCATCACCTCATTCCTGCTCAAGTGCACGGTCCCAACTGGGCGGATGCAGTGTTGTCTTGCATGCAGGAAATCTTGGTGTTCAGTTCAGCCCAGGCGCGACAGAACAGCTCATCTGGGCTCAAGCGGCTCGCAAATGATGGAGTCGCCCTTTCGGAATCCCACACACGGAATGCCCGACCAGTGTGAGCATCTTGTTGTACACTAGCACTGCTCAATCTAAGCACCGCTATTTAGCTATATCCATGTCCTCGTTCTGTACTGCTCAAGGAGACATTCGCTCTCCCCAGGATATTACGGCCGCCGCCTAGTATTTACATTCCGTAAAACTGATCTGCTCGCTTCCAAGATGCACGATCTTGTTGCCCATGCGTCCGCTCTCATCCTGGGTGCGTCGAGCTTGCGGCGATGTGCCGACCGCGCTCTCGGGGGGGTGCAGCAGCAGCAGCTCGACGAGTGTTTCGAGACAGTGGTGCAATCGCGGCCCCCCGTAGAGTGGTTGCGGGGCACATGGAGTGCGCCCAGCTGCAAGATCGGGCTGGGCATTCTGCAGCGATTTCAATCCCCCCTGCGTGAGCCGCCGCCCCGTGGGAATTCTAAGCGCCATTGGAGCGAGGGGCAGCAGGTGGCCCGCCTTGAGCAGGCCACCGCCCTCGCCAGCGCGCGCAAGCCAAAGGTCCAACGGATTCTCTCCTCCTCGCTTCGAGCCTCTCTATGCCCACCCTCATTCGAAATTACTACCATCAAGCGCTTCCTAGCTTGGGACCTGCTGGACGCTCCCAGCGACCCGGTTGCGGAGCGCTGGAGTGACTGCTTGGCAGCAGCCGCTTCAAAAGTCACTCGCGGGCAGCTGGGCGACCTTCCACCGCGCGCACGTGTGCGTGGGGGGTGGGGGGGGGTGAATTGTCTCTTGGGGTGCAGGATTGCAAAAAAAAAAAACGAAGGATTGCAAACAAACCTGGGCTTCGCAAAAAACCCTAGGATTGCAAAAAAACCCTAGGATTGCAACAAAAAACATGTTTGTTGTTTGCAATCGTTTGCCATCCTAGGTTTTTTTTTTTTTTTTTTTTTTTTTTTTTTTCCAATCCTGCGCCACAGATGCCATGTCCCGCTGCCTCTCCTGCCCCGTTCTCCGTGGGTTCCTCTCCTTTAGCTCCCCCCTCCCCGCCTGTTGCTAGGCCTCGGAGCCGATGGAAGGATTTCAAAACAAAAAAAAAAAGAAACAGGATTGCAAAACAACCAAGGATTGCAAAACAACCCTTGGACGAAGGATTGCAAAAAAACATGGTTTTCTGCAATCCTTCACCCAGGTTTTTTTTTTTTTGCAATCCTTGGGTTTTTTGCAATCCTTAATGCAGGGGCGCATCCCGCGCAATCTGCCGCCGTGCCGCGGTCCGCCTCGGCGTGCTCTCATCCCGCACTTATCTCAAGCCGAAGGCGTCGTTCGCTCATGGGGCGACGGCTGATGCGCGGCAACAACGCGCCGCGGTGGCCGCTGCAGAGCGCGCCGCTGTCTATCAAGCGAGCCTGATGGGACTGCGCCCTGAGGCGCGGCCGACTATCATCATCGCCGACAGCATCAGCATCGCCATCGCCATCAATGCCCCAGGCTCACGAGTGTCAAGTTATTGTGTTGGAGATGGCCCGTTGGATTCACCTCGCAGGCTCCCGTTATCCCGCGCAGCACGAAGTAACATCGGCAAGAGACAGGCTGTAGACGGTAGACAGTACCTCTGGGAGCTTCTGAAGTGCAGGAAGTTTTGAATGTGTTCACAGTCTGCTATGGGCCGTCTCAGGGCAGCAATTCGCTGTGGCGCCGCAGGGGCCGGCAAGCTGACTCGCATCCGTGCTGAGGGCCACCGGGAAAGGTTAGTCTCGACCTCCCCCCCTAGCATGGCCACGGACTTCGCTGGGAACTTTTTTGCGCTTCGAATGGCTGCCACGCTGCTTCCAACCCCTGGGGCCCAAACGACCCGTTACCGCTCCGCGTCCGTCGCGATCCCCCCGTGAGGGAATGGGCGGATATGCGCATGTCCCCCAGCCCCTCTCCGGCCAGTTCTCGGGGGGAGCTTCTTAACGATATCAGACTTCCCCACCGTTTGGGCGGCGCGCCCCAAGGGGGGGGGTGCGCTGGATTTGTTTTCGACGCGCGCGCGCGCGCTCCCATCGGGCGAAGTCGCCAGGGGGTCCGGTGGCTTACTTGGGTTGGTTTTCGGACCCCCCCCCCCGGCCAGACATCAGAGCGTGAATTGCCTACCCCGCTTTCGCTTCCAGGCAAAACCAAGTCATACCACGCGCCTCCTCGTCAAGCGGCCTGACCAGTACAGACCGTAGTTTGGCATCGCTTGATGAGGTACTGTTCAATACCCCCAGGAGTCGCCAATCTGCATGAAAGTCAGCCCTCTGACCCCCCTGCTCCGCCCTGCTCCGCCCTCCTCCCCCTCCTCTTCCTCTGAGCCCTCTGACGACCATTCCCCGTCCTCTTCGTGACCAAACGCACCTCGCTGATGGGTGCTGGGGCACGGACAACGTCGCCGCATGGGCGTGCACGGCGCAGAGGGCGGAGGACAGGAGGCCCCTCCCCACCCTCCCTCTCGCTCCCCCGTCCCTTCCCTCCCCGATCAATCCCCTCTCGCCCCAATTCTCCCTTTCCCATCCCTCTCTCCCCGCATTCCCTCTCCCCCCCCCGCCCGCCGCCCCTCCACCTCCCCCGTCGCCCCCCTCTCGCCCCCTCCGACACTCCCCCATCCCCCCCCCCCTCGCGCTCTGACCTGCAGAACCCCGAGTCGGACCCAGTCGCGGCCGCGAGGGCGCCCCCTGGAAACCAAAAACGGCATGACGCAACAATGATACCCTCGACCCTCGCCCTCTTCATTTCGCCTGCCCTCTGCCCTCAGTGCGACCCTCGCCCTCTTCATTTCGCCAGCGAGGCAGTGCGACGATCACCCGCGGTCTCCGCGCGCCTGCGCGGGCCCGGGCGCCGCGCGGCTGAGTTGAGGCAGTCCCCCATCAGTCCTCATGGCCCGCTTCCTTTCGTCCTTGCCTCCACCTTCCCCGTGATCTTCGCTCTGAGCGCCGCCCGCGCCGCCCTGGCGTCGTCGTCGTCGTCGTCGTCGTCGTCGTCGTCGTCGTCGTCGTCGTCGTCGCATTCGTCGTCGCCTGTTCATCTTCTCCCAAGCCCTCAGCTTCCTCGCGAGCACGTCCTCGCCAACCATTGCCCTCCTCTCCGCCAGAAGTTCCACCTCAACTCGCCTCTCCACGGTAGCCGCTATCTCCCGCAGCAGCCTCGACTTCTCCTCCTCCTCCTTCTCCTCCTCTCTCCTCCTCGCCCTTTCCTTCTCGTCGTCGTCTGCTTGGGGCCGCCGCTCTTCCTGCTGCCCCTGCTGCCTCCTGGCGGCGACGACGACGACGACGACGACGACGACGACGGCGGCGACGACGACGACGGACGACGACGACGACGACGACGACGACGACGACGACGACGACGACGTCGTCCCTCCTGAGCCTCGCTGGGTCCCGCTT